GTGGTGGATGAAGCCGGGGAACCGAGCCCTGGCAGGTAGGGACCGGTGCAGGTTGGCTGTTTCAGGCATGGTATTTGAAGGGACGTGGGCCAGCCGATCGATCTGCAGCTCAAAATAGCCTGGAAGTGCAAGAACAACAATAAATAAATGGGTTCCGGATGCTTTTAAATCTTGGCGTTTCCTGATCTTGGCTCAGCTGGTCCAGACAGCTTCATCAGCATTTACTGCTGAGGCCGGCGGCACACGCCTTCCCTGGCCATGGCCCAGAGCTGCTTTCAAGAAAATCAGATCTAGAAACATTTGGATCCCTGGCGCTGGGCCTGTGGGTCATGGGCGTAGGCCGAGATCAGGCAGTGTCGAGGTTTGTCCTGTGGGTGGAGCGTCAACACCTAGGGGATGAGGTGAAGGACCGAGCAGGTGAGATGGTCACCAGGGAATGACAGGCTCCTTAGACAGTCACTTTCCATGTGTTTATTGAGCACTTACTATGTGCCAGGTGTCAGGGAAACAGTCGTGAGCGTTACTCAAATACTCATGTGAATCCATGTCTAGTTACCCACTGTGACGAGCTCTAAAAGACTCTGAACCTTAGAAAGCTATGGGAGAACCCAGCTGGGCTCCTCCTGCAATCACCAGCTCATCTTAATGGAAGGTGTTCCAGGAAGAGGGACCAGCAGGTGCAAAGACCCTATGTTGAGAGAGCTGCTGGCAGTGCCAGGAGTGGAAAGAAGGATAGCAGGGCCGAGAGGTGCAATAGAGAGTGGATCTGACCATGAAACCACACAGAACAGGTAGGCAGGAGTCAGACCCTGCAGGGCCTTACCTGCTAAAGGAAGGGTGTTCATCTTTCCGGGGGGAGAATTGAGAGGGGTCCAGTGGAATCACATCTGCACCTTGAGAAGGTGGCGAGGCCTACTGTGTCCGGCAGTACAGAGTGGGTCAGAGGAGAGGCATGTGGCAATGGCTGCCATTGAAGTCTGAGTTGATGGTGGTGTGGACTGGGTCCGTCTTAGAGCTAGAAGGGTTAACCTAATGATTGGGTGATGAGGAAGCTGCAAGGAAACCCAGCAACCCAGAGAGGCTGCAGCTGTTCCAGCAGTTGCTTCAGGACTCCTGTGTAGAAATCTCACTAATGGCCATATCTCTTGCACAATTTGCACCACACACTACTCAAAGCTCTTCTCATTAAATCCTCATGAAAGCCCTAGTGGGTTGAGTAGGGCTATTATTATCCCCCATTTTACTGAGGCCCAGAGAATATAACTTATTTGACCAACATTACACAGTTTGGTCCCCCACGGTCTAGGTCCTCTAGCAGACTATCCCTGGAGAAGTGTTCTCTAGTTTGTTGAGTCTGCAGAGTTTGACCCAGGGTTGCTCCAGTGGCTCTGTGTCGTGTCTGCCTGGCCACAAGAATGGGTTCAGAGCCAGGCTGCAAAGGCATTGTCAAGCATGGCCAGAGCATTTGCAGCCGTGTGACCTCGTTCCTTTATCCCTCCTGGCCCACTGGCCTCTGGCAGCACCCAGTTGGGGACATGAGCTGAACCAGTCCTGTCTCTGGGTTTTGCGTGTCGCTCGCCTCCTGGGATTTGGAAGGTCTCTGCCGCTTGTTTTTATTTTCCTCCTGGACTTCTCTCCTCTTTCCGTCTGCTCCCACTCTGTCCCCATCTGTTGCTGCCCTATGGGGGTCTTTTCCTTGCCTCTCAGATGTATAGGAAGGACTTGGAATGGCAGGATTGACATTCTTCCTTCTGGACTCTCAGAACAAACGAAACCAGCAATCCGGGCGGCTGTTATTGCTGACCCCTGGCCCTGACCGCTTGGCCTGCGTAATTCTGTGGAGCCCTCACAGCAGTGCTGTGAGGTGTGTGTCTATTATCTCCACATGTGGGGAGATGGGCTGGGAGGATTTGGGGGTTGCATGCACGTGTCACCTGTTAGGATCTGACTCCTGGGTTTGAAATTCTTGCTTTGCAAAAGTGAATGCACACATGAATCACTTGGGGATCGTGTTAATCTGATTCAGCAGGTCTGGGATTCACCGTGAGGGGCTGCAGTGTCAGCTCCAGGTGAAGCTGATGGGGCTGGTCTGCAGACACACTGAATAGCATGGCGAGGTACTAGCAGGTTTCCCATGGCTGCCTGTGACGCCAGGGCAGCAGGTACCACCATGACACTGCACCCCTGTACTCACCACCTCCCTGTCCACTGTCTTTGCTCTTCCATGAGAAGGGCTGATAATGGGGCCAGCAGGTGGCGTGATGGTTAGGGCTCTGGATTCCCACGTACTGACTGCGATTTGACTCCTGGGCCTGGTGGCTTGAAAAATCATGCCATGTGAGTGTGCAGGCATGCCCAAAATCCCGAGAGGAGAATAGAGGAGAAGGGATTGCAATGGGGCCATCTTTGGGGGGTGGGGATGGGGAGGATTTTTTACTTTCCCTCTCTTTGTCTCTCTCAGGCAAGCACACCCTAAGGCAAAAACCTAAAAGAAAAAAGAAAAGAATTGCCAATAATTCACACTGTGACTCTCCATCCAGGGTTCTCGATTATGGCTTCAGCTAAGACTCAGAGGTCTAGTCCTGGTCCTCTGTAACTTGCTGTGTAACTTCCCCTCTCTGAACATCAGTTTTTTTCTACTGGAAAAACAGCGTGACCCTGTTGTAAGGACCAAGTGGGAGAATGTCTCGTTTACAGAATAAAGGATTCCTATGAACCCCAAGACCTCCAATCTGAGTGGGGTGGTAGAAGCCTGAGCAGTGGGTTCAAGTGGTGCGCGTGGGGATGGCGCGGACTTTGCTCAACAAGAGATCTCACTGTCGCAGTACCACCCGCCCCCCGGGGTGAGTTGAGAAGGGAGTGGGTGCATGTGGTTGGTTTGACACGACCTCACTGTCATGCCCTGTCTGCACTTTGGAGCAGGCTTCTGGTGCGGCAGGTTCACCTGTAGCAAGGAGGCCAGCCAGTGCCACAGGCCTGCGGGACCTGAGGGTGGGTCTGCTAAGGAGGCTCCTAGGCCTCCCTGAGGGCCTGCTGGGGCCAGAAAGTCTGTTTCCCACCAGCTTTATCTGGGAGCCTGTGGGTCTGGGTTTCTCATCATCTGACCCAGTGGAAAAGGAAAAGCAGGAATTTCCATAAGGGAATACATGGATGTGGAAGAACACTCGCCCACCCCCTCCCCAGCAAAGCGTGTGTGGAGGGTGGGCGTGAGGGAGACTGAGCGTCACAGTAGTATGAGGCAAAGATGCCAAAGCTGACCTGGGATGTGGGAGCGCTAACCCTCCACCCTGCCCATCCAGCCTCAAAGGTTGGGTAAGCATCTCCTCTGGGCAGGCGCCATTCCAGGAGCGAGGACCCAGGATACAACACAGCCATAATCCCAGCGAGTGGGTGGGCTGCGGAGCTGGGGAAGGCATCCCCCCTTGAGACTGAATAGCAGGATGGTGGCCTGGACCCGGGAGGTGTCCCAGGTGGAGGGCCCACACCGAGGGTTGTGTTCCACGCAGGAGAGAAAGGAGACCAGCGTACTTGCAGTGAGGGGCAGGTGGGTGAGTCCAGGAGATGGTGGGTGAGCAGGCAGCCCTGGTGAGTGCCCAGGACTCTTGTTGAGGGCCATGAGAAGTCAGGGGATGGTTTCATTCAGGAAACTGAGCAACGAATCCAAGTTCCAGCCATGCCTCCCGTTTGCTGGGGATGGCGGGCAAGCTCCTGCCCCTCTTGGAGGGAGTGCTGGCTTCCTCCTCCCGCCCATGGATGCACATCACTGACCCACTGCTGTGAAGACCCTCAGAGGTTCTAACAGGCTGAGGCATTTGCTTCTCCCCAGTAGATCGAAATCTAGTGGATGAACCAGCAGAGAGGAAGGATAAGAACTTTTCCCACGGTGCTATCAACAGCTGTGGTCAGCCCGAGCAGGGGCAGCAAAGAATTTGAGGCTGAGGTTCAGATTCATCTTCGAGCTCAGCCAGGTGCCCTCACCTCCCTATGCCTTAGTGTCTTCATCTGTAAAATGCGGGTGTCCCCACTGTGCTGGGCCCTCAGGTGCCACTTGGATGCTCTGAGTGGTCAGTGCCTTGTCGTTGGCAAGTGGTTTCTTAGCCTGGGGTTTGGGTCAGATTAACCTCATAAAGCTCTGAAATTCCCTGTGAATAGTGTGTGAACAATAGGTGCATATGTGTGTGTGTCTACAAATCTAGAACTTAAATATAAACATGTCACCTTATTTCTGATGCATAAGGAAGAAACAGACATTTGGCTTTTTTCTTTTTTGTTTTTGGGGATTTTTCTTTTGGCCTAGCACATTATTTTGCATTCACTCAGATTAGATAAGAGTATGACAGGTTGCCACTGTATGATTTTTGGTTAATAAGAATGGAAAACCTAATTAACTCTCTCATAATCCCTCCCCCTTTCTAAGCCTGGGGCTGTGGGGGTTCCCCAGGGAGCCCAGCGTGGGAACCATGGGACCAGATGGGCTGAGAGGCCCCTCCTGCTCCCACGCTGTGCAGCAGCAGGGGCAGTGGTGGGCGAGTTGCTGAGTCATCTCGGCCCCGCTGGGTCATGTGTCGGCTGAGCTCGGGCTGGTGTGGAGCCCTGGCCTGGGTTCCTGGGGAATGACTTCGCTCTAGCCTAATGTGAAGGGGCAGTCCTCGGCTGCCCACTGCCCTCCACCTAGCCGAGGGTCAGCTCCCCGCACAGGGCTGCCCATCCTGGGGAGTACTGCCCCAGGCCCTGGCAGAGACGAGGTGGCAGTCAGCCCTGGTTAGCACTAGGCTGATGGCTGCACTCACGACCCGCTGGCCCACTGGGCGTGACGTTGCCTCAGATGCCACGCAGGGGCTGCCTGACCTTCACTCGCCTGCCAGGACCCATTTCTGCCTTGCTCCGGGTTATTTATAACAGTGCGAACCGGCAACAGGGCCTCTCGGCTGAGCCCTGGCTCAGTCCCTTGGTGCCTCCTGCCAGCCAGGGCAAGAGACACATAAACAGAACCAGAGAACATGGACACCTTGGAACCCGGGCAAGACCTGACCACCCAGTGTGTCAGGTACTGGTTTTTGGGTGTCTGGAACATTTTAATATTTGTTATTTTACTGTGGGTAAAATAACAACATTTTCCAATCCAAAGTCTGCAGTTCAGTGGCATTAACCACATTCTCCATGCTCTACAACCGTCACGGGTCTCCATTTCCAGATCTTTTTCATCATCCTAAAGGCAGGACATGCCTCGCCCATGCCATGTCCCTGTCCTCAAACACCGAGGAAATCCCACAGAGAGTGGCATGGAAGGGAAGCAGCTGCCAGCTTACGATTAGAATGTCGGTGGTCCCCCCACCAGCTGCGTGGAACGGGCACGTTTCCCAGGGCTAGCCGTGACCTCTCGCCTTCCTTCCTGTTTAGGAATGGGGTCAGAACACGGAAAGCTGGAATGCAGGGAGTGGAATGCGAGAGGATGTCCTGATTGCAGGAAGAACAGGAATCTGCTCTAATCTCTCTCTCTCTCCTTAAGCAAAATCTATTCATTTAGCAAATGCCCCTCTCTTCTCTATAAATAGGGCAAATGTTTTGCAAGACGCCTCAGCCCCGAATGCCGCTGACCACTCTGTTGGACCACTTACGGCCTTGGAGGGGGAATGTATTAATAATTAACCATCCTTCACAGCGGATGACACACTACACTTTCTTATCCAAGATCCTTCACTGGACAGCAACTGGCGGGTCATGGGCCCCACTGGAGAGCTGTAGGAACTGAGGCCCCACTAAGGGATGTGTTAAAGGAGCCGATGCCATATCTTTACCTACACATGCAGTCACTCTTGGCCACCTCGTTTCACCCAGGCCAGGACACAAAGGAGACTTGGCTCCAGCATAAAAGTTAAGTGAATGTCAAAAAATTCAGTAATTGGGCCAACTGGTGGCATAATGGTATGGCAGCTGGATCCCTCATGACCAACTGCATGGTGTGAGTCCCAGACCTGGCAGCTTGAAAAACACGCCAGGTGTGTGTGCATGCCCAAAATTCCAAAAGGAGGGATTGCAGTGAGGTGGTGCTCTCCTCCCACGTTCCAGACTGCTGTCTTACTCTCACTCTCTGGCAAGTGCACATGCCCTCTGGCAGATTTTTTTTTAAAAAATTGAGTAATTGGGGACCAGCAGTTAGCGTAATGGCTATGTCGCTGGACTCCCATGTAGTCGACCGTGGTTTGCATCCTGGACCTGGTGGCTTAAAACTCAATGCAGGGCGCGTCTGCGTGTGCCCAAGATCCCGAGAGGAGAGTGGAGGAGAAGGGATTGTGGCGTGGCCATCCCCCCGGGGGGTGATTTCTTGCTTTCTCTCTCTATCTCTCTCTGTCTGTCTGGCAAGTGCACACACCCTATAGCAAAAACCTCTCAAAAAAAAAATTCAGTAATTAAGATGAAATACTATTTTAATTCAGTGTTTAGAAATAATAATAACAATACGTGTGAAAATTGCCATGCTTGAGCCAATGGTGATATAGCGGTCAAATGTTACACCGTGAGGCTGACACACATGGGAAGCTTCTCAATTCACATCAGGAAACCTCCCTAAGTATACTGAGTGCGTGTGCACCCACGATCCAGGGCAGGCTGAAGCTGGATCGCAGCTCCAGGGACCACTTTGGGGGTGCTCTCTCTTTCTCTCTTGCTCATGGCCAAAATAAAAAGTTTAAAAAATATATCCGTGCTGAACAGAATGTCAACATTAAAACTAAAAGCAGGAGCAGCGTAAGGGTTGTGCACAGCCATCGAGGAACCTGAGAGAGAGAGAGAAAGTCAGTACTGCTGGCGCCACCTTTATTTGGGGTTTTGTTAATTAGGAATGCACTTCTTGCCTTCATTTTTATTTTTAAGAAATATTGCCTTGGGTCAGCCCATGGCATGGTGGTTAGGGCAACTGGATCCTGTGTGGCTGGCTGTGGGGTTTGAGTTCTGGACCTGGCCCAGGTACGTGTGTGTGCATGCCCCAAATGCTAAGGAGAATGAAGAAGTGATTGCCGCATCGTCATACTCCCTGGGGGGTGCTTTCTCACTTTCCCTTTTTTTGTCTCTCTGTCTCTTTCCAGTGAGTGCACGTGCCCTATATATATGTGTGTGTATATATATATATATATTATTATTATTTCTTTAAGATATAACCTTTCTTGATTACTGAGCGTCTTGCTGCCCAGTGCCATGCTGCACCTTCCAGTTGCTGGGGACTGCTGTGATCGACGCCCTCTCCCTTGGGTCTCCTGGCCTCGAGCTCCTTGCATGCTGAGGCCTCTCAGTCTCTCCCGTGTCGAGAGGGCACCCGAGGGTGGCATTTGATCCCTGCTGTCTATTTTTGGCCTGCCCTTCTGCGACTGATAAAATGTGGCTCTTGGTGGAGCTGATGTGTTGAAATGGTGAGTGCTGACGTCAGGTGGTATGTGCGATCGTGTATCTTCATTCTTGACCCATGAAGGGCCCTGGAACTGGGAAAGAAGGCGAGCTCGGCACCAGGGCCACCTGTCAGGGGCGCAACTCCCTGTAGAGTTTGACAAAACCTGAAGTCGTTTTCTGAGACTCAGGGCTGCCAGGCAATGTGGCCGGGGCTGGGGGCTAGAATAAAATGGTTCCCACGTGAGTGTTCCTGTCCTGTGCACCAGCCCTAAAAGCTTACAAGGCACACATTTCATTTATCAAACTCTTCTTGACTGGGCACTTGCTGTGTGCCAGGCAATGTGTTGGGCTCCGGGAGGGGACAGAGCAGACATAGCCCCCTGCTGCACAGAGGTACTGGTAGGGGGAGGTGACAATACCACAAGGAGATGCATTTAAAACCGGGGGAAAGTTCTGGAGCTGAATGGTGCGATGGTTGTCCAACAGTGTGGGTGGACCATATGAAACATGGTTAAAATGGGGCCAGATCATGGCACAATGGTTAAGGCATGATGATCTATGAGGTGATTGCATGTGGGAAGGTGGTTGGTTCAAGCCCTGAGACTTCTCTGAGTACATGGGGCACGTGTTTGTTCATGAGCCAGGTCTGACTAAAGGCTGAGGATGGGTCATGGCATCTAGACCCTACTGGGGTGGCTATCTGTCTGTCCCTCCGTCTGTCTGTGTGTATCGCTCTTGCTCACGGAAGAAATAGGTAAGTACAATCCTTTAAAAAAATACTCAAAATAGTAAATTTCATGGTATGTATATTTTATCACAATTTACAATCATCCTGAGAAAAGAGGGGTGGGAGGAACACCAGAATGAAAATGGTTGCTGATTGAAGGAATTCTAGCAGAACACCAGAGAGGCCCGTGACCCCTGTAGGGTGCAGTGAGGGGTGAGGCCATGGGGGACGGACATTAATCTGGGAAGAGGGAAGCAGAGGGAAGCCACCAGGGGAAGATGAGGGCGAGAAGGCATTCCAGGCTGAGGGAGCTGCCAGCACAGAGGCCCTAGGTGGAAACTGCAGTCGCTCAGTGGGTCCATGAGGCAGGCTGGGCTCTGGAGACGCAGAGAGGCCAGTGACTCTCAGTAACTGGCAAGTTCTGAGCCAGAGCCGGGCCGCCTCAGCGAATCCCGGTGTCTGCCTGCGCATTGCTGCGCTGTCCGGCACGCGCTTTCCTGCCATTCTCCCTGCATTCAAGAGGCCCTTGAGTTCAAGTGCACAAAACAGACATCAAGTGCAGGCAAACACAATGCGTGTATTACACGGCCTCGAAAACCTTGCACTCTTGTCATAGGATAGCCCTCAACCTTGTGTTGTTTAAAAACAAACACCGCCTGCCTGGGCTGGGAGCAGCTTTATGCGTGCTGAGAGGCAGCCCCTGACAGGTGTCCCTGGCTGCGAAGATGGGCAGGGGGCATAGTTGACAGCGCCCTCTGGGACCCCAGCGCCAGGGGAGGGGTGTCAGGGCTCTGCACAGCCATGTACTGCCCCACACCCCAGGTAATCTCACCTGGGCACAGCAACAAGAGACTTCACAGATCTCTGGGATAAGAGGCAGCTCAAGGAAACAGAGCGGGAGAGGAGATGACTGAGGAAGATAACGCCTGCCCAGGAGACGCGCTGGCTTTTCTTTCTCTTGCCTTTAAAGGCAGAGCGCACATAAAGCCTTTGGTGTGTGGGCCACAGCTATTGAGAAAGCGGCCCATCATGTTGGAAATGGCTTTGGACGAGGAGCACAGGCGACTCCCAGTTCATGTCCTGACAGGAGCTGGCTGTGTGGATCCTGGGGGACTCCCCGTTCTCTCACTGTAAGCCTCAGTTCCCTTATCTGTACACAAGAGACTCCTCTGCCCAGGCAGGGTGGCACAGGAGGTAGGGAACCACTGTGAGAGACAGGGGCCTTGTGGGAGGCCTGGGTTTGGATTCCGAAGTTATTGTACAGGCCAGATTATACAGCATACATCTGCAGCTCTCGGTAACTGGGAGGCGGTGGTCTAGGATTGGGAGGCGGTGGTCTAGGATTGCAACTCGGTGAGAGCCTGTCTGAATTATCTCTCCAGGACTGCCCAGGGCCTGGTGGTTAAGGGACCTGGATCCTACGTGGTTGACCATACCTCTGGCCCAAAATAAACAAAACAAAATAAATCTCTCCCTCCTTCCCTCCCTCCCCCTCCCATGTGTACTCTTATTAAAATGAACAAACAGCTTTGTCTCTAAAAGTGTCCTGGAGGTACTACAGGCTCTTCCCATAGCCAAACCCACTCCTGGGCTGCAGCCGGCCATTGCAGGGCATGATTTCCTGTGTGTGTGCGGTGGTCACTTTTCTGCTGAGAGTGGAGCTATCGTTTGGTGGGAGGCACTCATCTGTTCTGTTTATGGGCCATTTCATTCAATGTAGGTAGAGGAACAAATGGATTTGTGAAGAAACTACTGATTCCTAGGAATCAAACAACTTCGCTGGTGGGGCAGGCCAGCGGGGGCGCCTGGGGCATTAGTGAACAGTGTTGTTCCAGGAGGAGATGGACGGTGGTTAACCTGCCTGGTTAGTTAGGTGGAGGCCGGTTAGGGCGGGTTCTGTTGCAATAAAGGCCTAAGAGTGCCTGGGTGGGATTTGG